TCACTAGAAGTTCCGGGATAGACGGTGGGCGTTGAAGAAGCGTATTGACTTGCATAATGAGGCATCAGAGGAGGATTCGGTTGGAATGAAGGCACATGTCCCCCCCAGTTTTTCCTAGCAGTCATGGTCGCCGAATTAGATATTGGGTTCGGCGGTTTAGGGAACACAAAGAGTTTAGATGACTCCTGTGGCCCAGTTCCAGTCCTGGTGTGAATAGACTTTCGGGCCGTCTGGGCAACAGCTATCAACTCGAGATAAATTGAATGAGCCTGTGCAAGGGCTCTTTCTCTGAACCGAGGCAGGCCTTCATTTGTATGATCAAAACGGCCGGGCTGGGCAACTGCTCCTTGAGATCCCGAACTCAGACTCTCAGCGTCCATATGCAATCCCGATAAGGGATCATGCACATATGGTGGCTTTGCAGGAACCAAGGCCCCATGACTATTGATCCCACTAATAGGAGCACCATGACCAGGAAATGTCGACGGCCCTTGTTGATATTCAAATGGACCCGGAAACCGAGGGTCCCATGGTACAGCACCAGGTTGCCAGCCAGCCTGACCAAAGGGCAGAAAGTCTGCACTCGGCATAGGGGGCGGACAGAAAGCACGGACATTGTATTCATTAGCCCGCAAAACGGGTTGGAAATCGTTGGGAAAAGAAGCAAAGGGAGCTGGAGCCCCGAGTACGGTAGGTTGAAATGCATTGAAATTAGACGGAGTAATGTCGTGGAGGGCATACGGCGCCGGGGGTTCGTTACTGGCATGCCACGACCCAGCATCTGTATTATATCGACCCTGGCCAAACGATGCAGATGTCCCTGTATCCAGTGTTTGCGGATGCGACAGAAAACCTGTGCTGTTTCTAAGACGTGGAATCGACTGGGCTGCGGCGGGGACAATCATATGCTTATGAGGCGGAGGGCCAGGGTTCGGTGGTCCGGGAGAGCCGTCATAAGCAGCCTCTATGGTACCATTTGGTGTTTTTCGGCGCAAGTGAAACTCGGAACGAGGAGGATACAGAGAGTTGGAAGAAGGAGTAGCCCGCCGCGGTGACTGGGACGTCCGGATGGGGAACGCGTACGGATGTGGTGACAAGTGGTTCTCCCGAATGGTCATCTGTGACGCGGGAGGATATGTGTAATCGTGAAACTGGACATGGGAGTCAATGTTGGTTGGCCGTGGCACTTCGCCAGGCTGGATTTGCAATAGGGGTATCATGGCCAAGCCTTCGGAGGCGAAACAAAAGAACGGTCGGGCGAAATAGATAAAGATCAGGTATATAGAGCAGAGAGAAAGGCAAAACAAGTCATCGAAATCGCAAGAAGGAGTCGTCAGTACGTATCATCGCCCGCGGTGGAAAGCAAGGCTCAATGAATCTCTGAGACGCATTTGGGCTAGCAATGTCGTGGGCAACCACCTAGCCAACGAGCCGGGTCGCAGATTTTGTTGATGGTATCGTCTCGCAGGTCGAACGGCGAATGAGGCGTCTCTCGTAGGTAATCCTGTGCACCCAGTGTTTACGTGGCAGGACAATCGGGCCCGCCCACCAGCCAAAACGCCTGCGCAGAGCAAAGGAAACCACCGCTGATGCCAAGTCGGATCGCAAGGGAGGGGCGGAAGCGAAAAGAAGAACAAAACCGAGATTGAGAAGCCAGCAAGGCTTCAAACCGGGTGTCGCCAACAGATTAGATGTTGGAAGATCAGAAGTGGGGAGGTTTTGATGGCGGGTTGGAGCACGCTATGTAGGGGTGCTTGCTAGCCAGAGGTAAATATGGAGTGGAGCGTTGGTACTCCAGGTCAATGGCACTTTATCACGGGCAGGCACGTCTGACTGCAACGAGGAGCTGTGTACATGCCATGGCCTACCCGTCCGCCGCTGCCAAGCGCTGGGGGGACCCATGGTGGTGTGCCAGCGTTGGCACCTTCGGGCGGTGACTGGCTGACCTTTCAGGTGATATATGCACTGCCAGGGCCCTGATTGGAGTGCTGAAGTGCCTGCACCGCCGCCACTTCCTGCAGCTCCAGCTCCCCCCCTGCCCCATAATCCCGCCAGCCCCAAGGCGTCATTGCGGGTGCCTTAGTGAAACTAGAGGCGGCTCTCAGCTGTCCACCAGCAAAAGCATCAGACTGCCTCTGGTAGCTCATCATTCGCCGAGCGAGCATCCGCCTGCGCATCTTTCCGGTGATTAAATCAGGCCATGCCTCTGTCACCCTCGGGTATATGTTGTTGGCCATGCGACAATGCGATTCTGGATTTGGATCAAAAGGCATCCTAGCTTCCCATTGGGAACATTGGAGGGGGGCCATATGCATGCCCCTCCCACCCCAATATGCATGTCTTACACGTTACAAGCTAGCAGGTGCTATCCGGTGTCCAACAGACCTGGGCTAGGCAGTAAGTCGTTGAAGTCAACCGAAACAAGGGAGCTCTAGACTCCTCTCCAAATGCACATTCTCCTGCAGCACATAACTATGATGTACGGTTTACGAAATGCGATTGGCAGGAGAGAATGCGCCCCCTCACTGGCCAATAACCATAGATTGCGATGCTAACGGTGAGATAAGTGTGGCCCATGTGCAAATTCATTGTTGTGGCCGACAGCATCACTGCAGGCCTCAAGGATCGTATGGGTGACAGTGCGTTGAGCCATATATATTCCTAGAGTACAAGGTATGTACACGCTGCAGAACTAGACGATAATCCAGACGATACACCTGTCAGTGATGTGGATGGCCTCTCGCTGTCGCTATAACACAAACAATTACATGCTGGTCATTTCCGTCTTGGAAACAGACCGACATTTCCTTTCCCCAAACTCAGATGGCTCAGGACCTGTGACCAACGTTGTCGCAGTTTTGCTTTTGCCGTATCAATAGTGCTGACAGGGAATACGGACGCCACGCAATTACGCGGAAAGTTAAGGGACACCCGCTCACAATACAACACGCTCTACGAAGTGATATGTAGGCCAAATCAATGGACCGCGACATCCATTTAGGGGCGAGCCCAGAATGCAGCGGTGAGTATGAGGTCTGCAAAATACGTAATCTGCCTTGGACAAAAATTGAAAAGTACCACTGAGAAGTATGGTACATTTCAGAGTGAAGTCAAGGGTGCTGGGTAGCGACAGTATCAAGAGCAATTGTGGGGCGCTTCACTTGGGGAAAGGCGACGGCGCCAGGGTTTAGATCAACAATTCGGTTATGAATTCCATGATGCTGATCTCGTGGGTCGACGTATCCACGTAATTCTACCCGAGTTTTCTATTTTTTTGTAGACCGATTCCAGTTTTTGACTTCGTAAATCGTTTCCATTTACTCCTCAGGGACTAAGTATATGTCAGCAAATGTGTCCATTTTGATGTTTCTACCATCAAAATTTAAAGCGAACTTACTCTCAATGTCGCCGCTGTTGATGCCCTCAATGATAACCTTGGGGGGCTTGCCATCAACCTGGCATCCAACACTGTAGGCAGTTCCGAGAATCTCCTTGACACCACCAGCCAGGTCCTTGGAGAAGGACTTGTAGCGCATGGTGCGGGCAATCTCAATGATCTCCTCGAGAGAGACGGACTTGTTGTGCTTGATGTTCTTCTCCTTCTTGCGGTCACGGGGAGGCTCCTTGAGGGCCTTGATGATCAGGGAAGAGGCGGTAGGGACGACAGAGACGGCGGCCTGACGGTTCTGGATGGTGAGCTTGACAGTCACGCGCAAGCCTTTCTATTGTTCCAATGGGTTAGTTTTACAAAATTATCATATATCGTTCCGTTCGAGATATTTCTTACCCAGTCACCAGTAGCCTTGGCAATGTCTTCACCGACCTTCTTCGGCGACAGACCCAGGGGACCAATCTTGGGAGCAAGGGCCGAAGAGGCACCAACTTCACCACCAGTGGCGCGAAGGTGGCTATTTCAAAGTCAGCATTGGAATTCTGGTTTGCCAACTTGGGTGGTCAAACGCACATAACCTTCACCTCATTGGGATCGAACTTAGGAGCTACGAGGCATGTTAGTAACGATTAAATATAGCGTTGCAAACAAGAATATCTTACGCATGTTGAGATATTTTGGATCGGTAGAGGCTCGAGGTTTGCGTGCCGAGAAGATTGACGATGTGGAAGGACTGGATGAGTTTGATGATAGAACTAGATCACAAAATTCTCTTTTGGGAATGTGTGCCCCAAAATTTTGCCCTAATAGCACCGCTGCCCTTAGGTAATATATCACGTGAATGCTGCGAACCACGACGCTTCAGCGGGGAGCGGGGCGAGTGGGTGACAAAAAAATGAGACACCTAATGGAACAGGCTATAGTACTTTCTTCACTGAATGAAGAAATTCAGTAGTACAAAATAGAATAAAATGATTTAAAGTGAAAATATGTACCATATTATTTCTCAAATAGGTATGCATCATTAGCACTTAACGACTTGACAAACCGGTCGCAGACTTGAAAATAATCATCTCATTATTTCAGTCTCAATTTCAATGTCATCCACCTGCGGGGCTGTTCCTGCAGTAGGTATCGTCAATTTAGACCGTCGAAACCAACATCCCTTATTTTAGGTAGCTTCTAATAGATAGATCTACGGGTCCTAAATAAAGAAGTTCCGATCCCAGTACTATTACTGCCAATAAAAAGAAACGCTGGAAATACCACAGATTCGAAAACAGGGAGCCCATAATCACAAGCTTGACTAAGATTTCCCAAGCATAGAATCACGAGAATAAACTTGAGGAATCGGGTATTATCAGTATATCTATTTTTGCATTAAACGACTGTACTCTCTTGAGGCTGACATGTTATCATTGGATTCCCTTTTTTTTTTCTGGGCGAAATTGCTTCATAACCCTCAACGCCCATTTTGTTCCCCTTCTCGCAGTGCTGGCTTAAAGAAGATGCACGAACTCGGGGGATCTTCCGAAATCACTCGAGGCTTTGCAGAAATTGAATTTGGTTCAATGGATATCGATTACAACAAGGTTGCCTGTCTCTACGCTTATGTGGTGCCGCTCACAGCAAGTCTATTGAAAGATTAGCGCCAATGGAAGTTGTCAAGGGTGTTAGGTGACGGCATACTTCATCAAGTGATCCATAAAGGTCTGCAACGAAACATCGTCGGTGAAAATAGTCTGCGCTGTAGTAGCACCGACGCCGCCATAAGCACCTGTTGTGTGGGTTGTCGAAGGATTGAGCTTGGACAAGAGGAAACGAGCCTGCGAGCCGCCAGCGTCGCAAACGATGAAACGAGGCAGGGGGAATCTGTCGGTGATGAGGTCCTGTACTATGTTAGCGACATGGTCTGAGTGCATCCTCTTGTAATACTTACGCGAGCATCCTCCTTTGGTTGTTCAAGAAGGGAAGCGAAGTTCTCGTAGCCCTCTTGTTCCTGGTAACCAGCCTTCCTCCACTCCGCAATCGTCTCACCGTGGAAGATGAGAATATGGAAGAACGTATCTAGCAGAAGAACATGAGTGGGCTGGATAGATGCTGAATCCAACAACACAGGTTGTCCTCCATCTTGATCAAATGTATATGAATCCAGGGTGGGCTGGATCATCACAAGAGAGTTGCTAGCATCTTCATGGTTCAAAACATGTCGGTAAAAAGCGGTCTCGTCAGGTGAGTTGTTGAATACCTGGAGGAACTGGCTTCGCCGCAGGTGGAACATGAATTGCGGGTATAAGGTGAAGTTCTTCTCCAGCCGGAAGGACGATGGATCATCCTTTCGGTAATCAGCGAACCGGGAGCAGAGCCGGATCAGCATACGATCGACCCATCGAAGTACGTCAGGCCCATCATCAACCTCGGCTTTGAAGACCGCAATTCTTGACATAAGGACTGCTGCTGCCTCCTGATCAAACGACTGCGCGATGGCAGGATCACCAGCTGGCCCACTCAAATTGCGCGCGATTGTTGTCACTCGGAGGTGGAATTGGCCTGAGGAGTGTTGATAATAAGTCAAAAATTGCATCATGCCCTTTGCTGGTGCTTGCTGCTGATGTGCAGGAGGGCCTTGGCTGGCAATTTCGAAGTATATGCCGTAACTGGCCTGAGGGTCGATGCCACACATTTTCCAGGAACATGTGTTACCAATTCCGCACTCGGTCTCGCCAACGGAAACTGACTTCTTGTTCAGCGACACTGCGTGTCCAATAAGACCAGTGACTTTGAGTTCTTTGGTTGTAAGGACTTCCAGCACAGCGTTGAAGCCCATGAGTAGGTTATCATCACCATCCTTCTCGAAGATGCGAACAAACGACTGCTTGAACATGGAGGATGTGAAACTATCGGTCAGAATCATATGGCCGCCGGTTGAATTACATAGACCCTTCATTTCGAGCAAGCCGACTTGATCCAGGCAACCGGCAAAGATATCAATGATATGGCCATTATGAGCTGTTCGCTTGGCGAGATTTTCATAGAACTGGATGCACACGTTAGTGGTTTGTTCAGAACCCTCTGCATGATAGGTATTTGCTACCAACCTTCAATGCCTTCTTGAAATACTTGACATTGTCACGGTCAATGTCGTGGTGAGATCGGATAGGCTCACGCAGCTCTGGGCCAACGACCATTCCTGGACCCTCTGTAGCTGGTCCTCCAGCAAAGAGCATGATGCGCCCGCCGGCGTTCTGGAAGGCTGACTCGAGAAGTCCGACAGCAACGCTGAGGGCCACACCGGTACATCTCAGGCTTCTTCTATCGTTAGCGACAGGCCAGGGGTCCTTTTGCAGGGCCTCGAGCGCCTTTGTGAGTTGGAACTCTGCCTGTTGTACAGGCAGCAGGAACCTCGAGGCAGGTCCGACAGGCATGGGGCGGCCAGGCTGTGGCTGCATGCCCGGGCGAAGCCCTGTAGAGGAGAGTCCCAGCATTTCTTGGACCTGCTTTGCAGAATAGTCCTTGCTTCCGCGGAAAACATAAGACTTGGCGCACTCCTCATAGCCAATTTCATGAACGTGGGCCTACGTATACGTTAGTCTCTTGAACACCTCGAGCCAGAACCTCATTCCATACCATTGTGCCGTATGTGACCAAGCCCACCAACGCATTCTCAGGGAGGAGGCTCAAGCTCATGACCAGGGAGTCCTTGAGCGAAGAAAGGCTGTCCTCCTCCTGGCACAGATCGACAACGTAGAGGAAAATGGGGGGTGCAGGGGCCGGACGTGATAGGCGATATTCGATCGTCGTGTTGCTGGGGTGCAATTCGGGCGGGATAGCATTTGCGGTAATATCCTTATAGTGTGGCGGAAGCTGGTTCCTTGACAAACAGAAGGGGCAAATCCAAACTCTTGCGCGGACATCGACTTGACTACAGCACATGTCAGAATGAGTTTGACGCCGCGCAAGGGATAGAATGGCTCAAGATCCATAACCCGACGCCAAGTGCTTACCAAAATGGGTTGAGAACCGAGCGGCAAGGCTGCTTGCAGGTAACAGGCTCGAATTGGAGCAGAGGAGTGTCGGGCTTCTCCTTCAGCGGGGTGTAAAGGGCGCCGATGGGGACGACGAGTCGCGATGCCTCCTGGTTTCCTGGTCAATGGAGCACTATAAAGCTTGTATATAACTTCGGTGCTCACCATGCGAGAGCTTGGAAACACGTTCCAGCTCAGGCGCACGCCATCACGATCCTCGACGTCGCTCCATTGCTCCTTGAGCGTCTCGTAGTCCATTGCGAATGTTGTTGGCAGTTAACCACAGAGCACTCCCCTCCGCGGTTGGATCTCGGGCGCTGTCACAAGATTTCGGAAAACAGGATCGATGGCACGATTTGGCGATTCAATACACGAACACTGAAAGCTTCGGCAACGTATGAAGGAGCTCAGATTCTGGATCCTGACAAGGAGGACAGATCGGTGGACGATGTGGACAGGTAGCCAGTCGCCCCACTCAAGCAGAGGGATCTCATCTTTAGTGGCTCCCACCTCTGATAGCATCTTGCACCCAAGCTTCTGGGCTACCGGGTAGGGGAAAGAGCTAGAACCAACGGCTGGCACGTGATGGCTCAAAGTCCTAAATAAACGCCAGCAGCTTCTCTCAACGGAGAATAAGCAATATGCAAATGAAAACGTGTGTTTCTTTGCTCTAATGATACCTAGTATACTGAGCAACGTCGGTTTTCATGGGGCATAAATAACCCCTCTGCCGCACTTATCGCGTACTCCTACTCGTTCTTGCCGTCACTTTAGGGTGCTCGGAATAAGAGCATGGGGTTTCTGGCATCTGATCTTGTTCGAAAGATGTGACTCAACAACTGTACGTGGTCATCTAGTCTGTATTCGAGGGCGATTGCTTGGACAAAGGACCTAGGTCTGTGATTGCTATTCAAAGCCTACGGTTTTCTTCGTATTATACAGAAAACTGGTTAAACGCAGTCCAGAGCTAGCTCCAGCTTCTGGTGATGGCGGCTCTGATTTTCTGGCTCCACTATCAGGTAGCTGACCAGGCAGGATAAGGCAACAACGCCGTGAACTTCACATACGAAGGTCTCCATTCGGTTGCGATATCGCAGCAATTCCGATATCCAGGCTCAAAGCAAACGGGTCGTTAGTTGCATGGCGACATCTACCCACCTCATGAAAAGTGTAACACTTACGTAACCTGAGGTAAAACATCCACCTAACCGCCTGGTGAATTGTTCTCACAGCTCCGGTTAAGACGTCTAATAGTAACTATTGATCATTGAGTCAAAAGAAAACGAGGTTACCATAATTGCCTTCTTACTTACCTTAGGAATCATGTCCGACACAAACTCTCCCAAGTCTGGCTACATCCGCCTCGGCACTGCCTCTCCTGCACCACATCCCACTGACACGCAGCAGACCCTTCGCCAGCTGGAACAAATAGCGAAGCGTGCAGCCGCACAGCATATTGACATCCTCGTTCTACCCGAGGCCTATCTCGGCGGCTATCCCAGGGGCGAGGGCTTTGGAGCTGTGGTTGGCTCACGCTCTGGCGAAGGGCGCCAGGCCTTTCTTGAGTACTTCAAGGCATCCGTTGACTTGGGTGACATAGTTGGCGTCGCGGGCGCTGGGGGACAGGAGAAATGGGTCAAGAGGGAGCTGCCCGAGCTTGCCGACGCTGCTGCTGGAGCCGGTGCAACGAGGGGTGACGGAACTCGTGAAGAGTTGGAGCGAATCAGTCAAGAGACTAACGTCTTTATCGTGGTTGGCCTCGTCGAGCGTGCTGGTGGAAGCCTATACTGCTCGGTAGTGTATGTCGAGCCATCTCGGGGCATCATTGGAAAGCGCCGTAAGGTTTTGCCAGTATGTTCTCCTTACCAATATTGTTTCTTCTGCGTAGAAAGCTGGCTAACCTGTGATGCCTGTCATAGACCGGCTCAGAGCGTCTGATCTGGTCCCAGGGTTCTGCCGCAACCCTCCGTGCCGTGAGCACAACTATCCGTGGTGTTCGCATCAATCTTGCTGCGGCCATTTGCTGGGAGAACTATATGCCGCTTGTGCGTCAGGCCATCTACGCGCAGAATGTCAACCTTTATCTTGCGCCGACTGCAGATGCCAGGGATGCCTGGCTTAGTCTGATGAGGACCGTCGGAAACGAAGGCAGATGCTTTGTGGTAAGCTCCAACCTGGCGGTGCCTCCATCCGAAGGAGAGGAGGCATGGGTCTGCCGTGGTGGCAGCAGTATCGTGAATCCTCAGGGTGAGGTTTTGGCTGGCCCACAATGGGAGGATAGCGAGAACCTCATTTGGTCGGATGTAGACTTTGAGGACTGTGTCAGAGGTCGTCTTGATATCGACGTCGCCGGAAGCTACTCTCGGTATGAAGCGTTTTCCTCCTCAAGCCTTTGTTGGGATACAACTAACTGTTTTATCTAGAAACGATGCTTTCCAGTTGTCCGTCCAAGGGCTTGACCTCACACCGCTCCCTTATTACTAATTAAGGATAAGATTAGTTCAGAGTCGAGCTTTAAATAATATATTAACACGGCTGTAAAGCTGGCCTAAGCAGTGACTATTTGGGTGATTAAATGATAAGATCATTGGCCCATGACGACAAGTTTCTACCCTAATGATCAAACTTCCTAATCGCAAAAGCAATAAAATGTCTATTTTCCGAATACAAGAACCAAAAAATGACAAAAGAACGACATTTTTCTATCATTGTAGAGTTACCAAGCAAGACTTCACCCGCATGTCATATCATATGAACAGGTCCAGGGTAGGAATATTGTGTTGATGGATCTAAGTATGCTATATGGAAGTTAGCGGGATGGCCCCTGCAGTCTCCAGCCAACCACAGAGGTTGTTGAGGTAATCACTCGTCGATAATATCCCCAACGTCGTCATTATTTTGCCCAACACATGTTTGCGATCGCATTGGGTAGAAGGCGTTAGCACCTGCATATTGAAGGGGTTTGGGTACAATCCCCTAGAGGTGCACTCACGTGGAACGCTAGAAAGACCAGACACACTGGCATAGACCGGCATGGCAGATACCGGAGGGGCTTCGGCCCCAGATAGTTGGCGAAACTCGCAAGCTATATCCCTACACCACATCGACCCAGCTCCAATTGAGTCTCCAGCTACCGAGCGGGATGACCTGCTGCTACCTGATGATGTGATTGACGATGAGGCGAGCTACACACGCAAGGACCGGAGATTTGGGACTGCAGCCGCTCCAGGCTTGAGTGGAACTGGCCGAGGCGCAATCTACTACTGTTGGTGAAGTCCTATAAACTAGTCATGCCTACCGAGGATAAATCTAGGTTCAGTACTGACCCTTCTACTATAGTGACACGCATCCAAAAGTATTCGAGTTACGCCATGTCGTTGTTCACCACCCTACACATCTCAAACGTTTCCCTGATCCCAGCTGCCACCCGTTCTGTCGACGCCTCCGAGACCTACCTCCTCATGACCCGCGAGATCTACCAGACTAGCATTTCAGAGCCTCTTCTTGTTATATTGCCGTTCGTTGCACATATCGGATCTGGCGTTGCCCTCCGATTGTTAAGACGGGCGCAAAATGTGCGGCGGTATGGCGGCGCAGGGTTATGGGCAGGTCAAGGGTCACATGGCCATACGGCATCACCCTGGCCCGAAATGAGCTACATTTCGATATCAGGATATGCATTCACGATATTCTACTCCGGCCACGTGTTGATGAACCGACTTCTGCCGCTGGCAGTTGAAGGAGACAGCTCAAATGTCGGGCTCGCCTACATCGCCCACGGCTTCGCCCAGCATCCCGTTGTTTCCTGGTTGGCATACATAGGGCTTATCGGTGTTGGAGCAGGCCATATGGTGTGGGGTACTGCAAAATGGCTTGGGCTTGCGCCTTCAACGAGGGGTTGGTTGAAGCCCAGAAACAAGACCGTCTCGGTTGTGGTAGACCGAAAGACAAGGCGGCAGAGGAGAAGGCGCTGGCTCAGTGTTCAAGGGACGGCCATCGTGCTCGCGGCATTATGGGCAGTGGGTGGTCTTGGTGTCGTTGCGAGAGGTGGCCCAACAAGTGGCTGGTTAGGAGCCTTGTACGACAACCTGTACTCTAAAGCTGGGCTTTAGAAAATAGGCGGCACGATGCATATGGATATGGTAATGATTGGTTTTAGATAGTGGAAGCGACGTTTTTACCACCTAGGCATATAGATATGTACCTTTAGCCTTCAAAGCCTGTCTTAATAGTTTGAGAGGGAAAGAAGAACGCCTTAGACTATTTAGTAAGGCAGTATTGTTGCTGTTGAGATGAGTGATCCTCGAGAGCCTCAACTACCTAATCTACCTACCTACCTAACATGGCTGTCATATATAAATCAAAGGCACCAAGTCGAGATCACTTCGGAACCTAAGATGAGGTGTGTGTATAATTACAATCAATAGATGCCTACCTAGCAAGGAAAGGTAAGGTAGGTTCAAAAAGCATTAGGACCTAATTTTGCTTCCAACGTACATATTGGGATGCGACACACAGATCAGATTGACGAGTCCATTTCACGACGCCTCATGCACGCGGGGAATTACATGGAGGGAATCAAGCACCAAATAGGTGCCACTAGTAGCGACCTATAGTGGTGGCGCACTGAGGGGCCCCTGTCATCTCCTCCAGCACCGAGAGCTTTTGATAGCCCAATCTCTAGGAGATGCAAGCGAAGCTCCTTGAGGTGGTGATCACCCCTCCCTCCCTTCACCGCCCGCTACATTGCCGCAGGAAACGCATACTCGAGACAAATAAATTACCATCAGTCGCTATTCAAATCCCATCCTCCTTGTTAGTTTGACTATCTAGCTGGATAGCTGTTAATTTAATTGATATCTATTGAGATGCCCACCCTTCCGGCTGTGATCGACCTCCCGTTGCCACCTTGACCTATTAGGATAAGCCTCAGACTGCCCTTCTTCATTGCCCGACAAGCCACAGCTCTCCTCCGACCGCGAACACAGTGCAAGCACACGTTCCGACGCGCGCGTTACGGACGAGCATGCAGGTCAAGCGTCGCCTGTCTCGCGGAGACAGCGATGATGGCGACCGCAGCGGCACCCGCTCACCTCGGTTCCCCTCTCCCAAGCGAGCTCGCCTCGCATCCTCGGTCGCCTCGCGCCCGCCCTCTTACGATGCGATATCGACGCTGCCCTCGGAGCTCCTCGCTCGGATCTTCTCGTTCCTGAGCGAGACGGCACTGCTAGAGCTCTCGACGGTGTCTCGTTTGTTCC